GGGTTCAGAGTTTAGGGCTTGGGGCTTAGGGGTTTGGGATTTCGGGTTCAGAGTTTAGGGGTTGGGGTTTAGGGGTTTCAGGGTTTCGATGTAGAATTGAAGTCAAACAAGCACACAAAGGTTTCTATAAGGGTTCTACAAGGGTGCTACAAAGGTCCTGGTTTCAGATTTGAGGGCGTGTTAGGGTTTGGGATTCGGGCGATAAGGGCTTTGCATTGGGGGTCTGCTATCCCAGAGCTGTTGGAAGAGCTTTTGAGACCGCAATCTTATAGAACCCACCATACAAATCCTACTACCGGTACTGGGTTCAGTACTAGTACTAGTTTTCGTCTTCGCCTTCGGATTACTGTTGCAATAGCCATTGCTGTTGCGATGATTACCACTATTGGTACCCTTTCCTCTTTACTCCTGAAATTTACTCTGCAATGTCACGAAAAACTATTGAAAACTTACTCTTTACTTACTGTTTGCTACGTACTCTCTACGATAAAGTGTTAATGTGTTGCTTTTTTGCTTTCTGCTGTTTTCGTTTACTATTACCAGTGTTACTCCTACTATTGCGATTACTGTCACGAGTACCTCTCCTAGTACAACTACGACTACTATAACCAGTACTACAACTACTACCAAGACTACTCGAAATCTAGAGTAATTCCCGTTGATGTTGCTACTGTTATTGCGATTATTGTTGCAGCTGTGATGGATATAGTGATGAAGCTCTTGTTCGTGCTACTGTTACGATTGTTCATACTAGTGCAATGGTTCATGGTTCCTTTATGTGACCCACATTAGAGTGAGTGTCAGTAACAGTAAGGTAGCTATTTCCATGAAGCTTATTCGAAGTACCGGTGTTAATCGGGAAAACATATTCTGGATATTACTATTTTGAACTACAAAGTAGTGCTTACTCCTGTTGCTGTTGATGTTAGTGTTTCTCCTTCTCGTCAGTACTGTTACGATGAAAGTAGTTCAGTTCAGTTTATACTTCAGAAGCACACTGAGAACAATAACAATGAAAACTATAGTAATGCAGTAACATTAAAAAAGGTCAATAGCCAGAGTAAGAAATAACAGTAAGAATAATTCTGAACAATCAATCGTGTACATAGATAAAGAAAATAGCAACAGTAGTAAGAATCATAGTAAGAAGAAGCAGAACAGTACTAATGATATTAGACAAAACAATAACACTAAGTATTATTATGAAAAGACTGTCAATAACAACTACAATAGCTGTGACAGCAATGAAAAGAGTAGCAACATCTAAAACAACAATGACAACCCTAGTGCGTTGCGGGCGTTACGATCTCCTATCTGGGGCTGTAGACTTCCAGCTCCAGTCCCTGCTCACATGCCTTCGCTGTTGTAGAATGGCTTGTCCGGCGTGGGGGGCTGGATCACTGGCGGCTTGACCTGACCGCAGTCGGGGCACAATACTAGGGCTAAGGATTCGGGTTTAGGGTTTGAGTCATTGAGTGTTGAGTTTAAAACTGATAGGACTGATAGTTGAGGGAGTGGGGTGGATTGTCCTATCGCACAACACCGCGCCGGACGTGTGTCGTGGCGTGCGCCTAGGTTCACATGGTTAGTGGCCTCCCCTGCTGTCAAGAAACCAAGGGGGCATCTAACCCTGAACCCTAAACCCTATAAGAATCCCCGAGGAAGCACACAATGAGAATCACCGGTCTCCATGGGACTTTCAAGCCAAAGAAGAACATGGGTAGTTCTCTTGATCAGGGTCCGTTCTTGCGTCCCACAGTAGTACGGCACCCTCAAAGTTATGGACCCTAAAAGGGACCCTAATTCAGAGAACTACACTCATGGAGTCATGGACATAGAGACGCCCCTCCCAGCCGGGCCTGCAAATACCGGCAAACTCATCAACTAATGTATAGAACTGGGTTACGGGGTATGTTATGGTATACCTACGATTCAGGGCACCTAAGACAATAGCAATTATTCCGACCCCTATAGGATGCATCTGCTGTTCCAGACCCTTAACTGTTATTTGCGCGCACCCCTAAGCCTACACTCCTAACTCCTAAGCCAATACCTTAAACAACCTGACGCCTGCATAACCCATAAACCCCTAACACAACCCCCCCGCCCCAACTCTCGATCCTTCACCCTGAAGCACTGAGTCCGGCGGAGCCCCAAAACCGACATTGTAAAGCCCCCTGGCCCAAAAAAACCCAAATGCGAACCGCAGCTAGTCCGACCTGTGTGGAGGCCGCTTCCGGTTTCGGCGGCCTGGGATGTTGCTGTGAGCTGCAGGCTCGGGCTGAACTTTCATTGGGTTTTTTGGTTCGGCCTGTGGTGGAAAGACCCTAAACCCTCAAACTCCCCAACCCTAAGCCCTAAAACCCAGGAACCTGCAGACGTAGGGTCTTGGTATGGAAGTCGATGAAAGCTTTGGGGTTTCTGGGGGATGGAGAGATGGAGGACTTGAGGGTTGGAGGAAGCTTAGTGGTTGGTCCTGTGGCATCTTTCAGGCTTTAGGTTTTAGGCTTTAGGGCCTTTAGGGCACACCTCACAGTTCCTTATGAGACTTGTACTGTAGAGTCTACCCCCCAAAACCCTACTCTAATCATTAAGGCCCCCAATATTCGCATTGAGGAGGGTCGGTGTTATTCCTGCGCTTGTGCTGTGGGAGGCCCCGAACTGTAAGCTCAGAACGCCATCAGCGCTAAAGCCCCTAGAGCCCCCGAAGCCCAAAGCTGCAATCCTAGACCCTAAGCCGCATAGCCTGAACTGGTTTGGGGCAAAAGGCTTCGAGGCTTCAGGGTTTGGTTTAGGCTCGAAGCGCCAGGCGGCCAGTCGGGTACTATATGATGTGTAGAATTATGTGCATATATATATATATGTGGGATAGTGTGGGTACCTGATATGAGCTGACCTGATCTTGGGTGATATGGCATGGTATCGTCTGGCATGTAGGTGCGTGCTGATATATATATATATACACACACATATATATATATACACATATACATACACATACCTACATACCTACATACATGCGTGCATGCATGCATACATACATACCTACGTACATACATACATACAGACAGACAGACATACATACATACATACACACATACATACATATAGATATACAACCATCTTAAATTTAAGTGGTGATCAATTTCTTTGTTTACGCATTTAGTCATTCTCGAATCTTAACCTATCACATGTCCATTCCATGCAATTCCCTTCCATTCCTTCCCCAGCCAGCCCAATCCATGCAGTCAATCGTTCATTCGTTCCTTCCTTCATTCTTTCATTCGTTCATGCATTCATTCGTGTACGCATGCGTGCACGCATTCAGTTCATTTCATCCATCTCATCCATGTCATTCATGTCATTCATGTCGTTCATGTCGTTCATTTCATTCATTTCATTCATTTCATTCATTCATTGATTCAGTGATTCATTCATTCATTCATTCGTTCGTTCGTTCTTTCATTCATTCATTCATTCGTGCATTCATTCATTCATTCAATCCGTTCAATGCATTCAATGCATTCATTCGTTCAATTATTCATTCATTGATTATTTCATTATTTCATTTTCATTATTTCATTATTTCAATATTTCATTTTTTCATTTCATGCATGCAATCATTCATTCATTCATTCATTCGTTCAATCATTCATTCCTGCGTTCGTTCGTTGGTTGGTTGATTCATTCAATCATTCAGCCAGTCCGTCAGTCAGTCAGTCAGTCAGTCAGTCAGTCAGTCAGTCCGTCAGTCAGTCATTTCATTAGTCTCATTCATGTCATTCATGTCCTTTATTTCCTTCATTTCATTCAATTCATTCAATTCATTCAATTCATTCAATTCATTCATTTCGTTTTTTCCCATTCATTCATACATTCATACACTCATACACTCATACATTCGTTTCTTTCAAGCCTGTCAACCCACTCATTCCTTCTATGTCATGGAGTCGCTCATTCATTCCTTTCGGCCATTCATTCGTTCTTTGTTCATTCATTCATTCGTTGTTTCATTCATTCTCTCATTCGATCGTTCGTTCGTTCATTCAGTCAGTCAGGCATTCAGGCATTCAGTCCTTCAGTCATACAGCCATTCCTTGAGTCATTCGTTCGTTTGTTGGTTCATCCATTCAGATATTCAGTCACGCATGTCTTGTTTTCACTGCAGAATATGCGCATACCTTCCTACCTACACGCTCATGTAAGCAATGTCTTAAGGACAACCCAAGGGATCAGAAACTCCCAAACATCCGGAGAGTTGAGTTCGGTGCTGGCTAGCGTGCTGCGGCAAGGACTCCTGGAAATTGGAGGAGAGCGAAAAGGTGAATAGGACTTTGGTGTATATTGTGGTAAGTAAACTATGGTATCTTATGGCATATTATGGTGGATGACTCTATATTCTGCTTGCTATGGTTTTGCCTACATGGGGACTCTCCTGTGATACTCTTAAAAGATTTAAAAGTGAACAGTCCTCAAGCTTCATCCGACTCAGCGGAGATATTTTGGCTCTGACATTTGGGGGCTCCTGGAGTTTAGGGGTTGGGGTTTTTGGGGGTTTAGGGCTTAGGGTTTAGCGTTTGGGGTTTTTCGGGGTTAGCGTTTGGGGTTTGGGGTTTGGCGTTTGAGGGCGCTTTGGCTCAGGTGATCCGGCTGTCAGTAGCCCTCAATCCTCAGCCCTAAACCGCAAACAGCTTGGGACTTCGATGTGCCTGGGCCCATCAAGACTTGCGCGAAAAGTCGCGAGACTAAGACCCTGCAGGATTAAAGCAACCTACCCTAAAGCCCTGACCGCTCCCAGCATCCTAAGATCCGATAGACCCTTAAGACCTACCACGAAGGGCTGGGTCTCCTCCTTCCACGCGGGCTGGGGCAGCGGGTACCTCGGAAACGACAAAAAACATCGAATGCCACAGATCCGAAATATCTCTGCGGGCGTTTTGCTTGGGCTGTTTCTTGGCCGATCTTTCTCACACCCCAGCGAAAGGCGAGGAGGCGTCAAGGGCTTGGAACTGATCCTCGGGGCCCTGCTCACCCGGCGCCGGGAGCTCCCGAACCCATCGCGCAAGGGGCACCCAGCTAGTGCCCACGCGCACCGTGAGGACGGAGTCAGAGAGCTGCATTCTCACTCGGTCCTCCCCCAGCTTGTAAATCTTGGGACCGGTCCTCTTGAGAACGTGGCCTTGCAGGCAGCCGGGGCCCAAAGTCCGGATTTCCGCCTCCAGAGCCTGGTCGAGCTCGTCCGCTGGGGCTGTCGCAACATAGTCGGAACTGACTTCAGGCACAGGGAGCGGAGACATCTGAGGCGCCTGGGCTGCCTTCAGCTCCTCCAGCTGCATCTGCAAGTCTTCCAGGCGCTTCTCCAGCGCCAGCTCCCGTGCCCGACCTTCTGCTGCAGCCTCGGCGGCAAGCTCCTGCAAGGCTCTCTGCGCATCTTGCGCCTGCTCCCGCTGCTCCTCGGCACGGCACAGCGCCTCACGGAGCTCAGTCTGGAGCTGCGCCTCGGCCGCCTGGAGCCGCGCCTCCGCCGCCTCCGCCTTCGAGGTCTCGGCTTCCGCCCGGGCCTCCACCACGCGCTCCGCGTTGGCTGCCTCTTGCGCCTGATGCGCCTGGCTCCGGGCTTCCTGCAGCTGCGCCTCCTCCGTGGAGAGCCGGGCCTGCAAGGCCTGAGCCAGGCCTTGCGCCTTCTCCAGGGCATCCTCCGAGCCTTCGAGGGCTAAGATCTCCAGCTCCCGACCCGCCAGGCGAGCGCTCAGCTCCTGCAGCAGCCGGAGCTTCGAGGTCTCCGAACTCCGCGACTGAGCCCGCAGCTCCGTGGACAAAAACCGCTCCGTCTCCACTGAGGCTGCAAGGTCCCGCATCTCCCACTCGCGTGCTCGCTCCGCCTGCTGCCTTTGGAGGCTCTGGGAAGAGTTTTCCATCGTCTGCCAGGTCTCCTGCTCACTGAGGAGGTTGGCCTCGTATCTCAGCTGAAGCACCTCAGCCTGATGTTGAAGATCGCAGGAATGCTTCTGCTGCTGCCAAGCCTGCCACTCCTGAGACATTTGCAGGTCCTTCTTCTGGATTGCCATCTCCACTTCCAGTTCCTTGCATCTGCTCTGCCTCCGGAGGAGCTCCTCCTGCTCCTGAGCCAACCTCTCTTGAGCCAGAAGGATCTTCTGGGCATGTTCCGACTTCAGCTCGTCTTTGCCTTGAACCAGAGCCTTCAGATCCTTCAGCTCCATCAGCATCTCTTCCCGGTCCCGATTTTCTCGCGCTTCCGGCGGGCTTTGCACCTGGCAGAAGCAGGGGCCTGTCTCCGGAAGAACGGCGGAAGCCACTGCGGAAGCCATCATGTGCTCCTGGATGGGATGCGGCTGATGCGGCTGTGCCAGAGTCACCGGCTCCAGAGGGACCGTGCCTCCAAAACATCCGGGACCTGGCAAGGATGGAGGGCACGGCTCAGCCAGACATCGTTGCTTCAGCTCCTCCAGTTTCCGAGGGAACTCGGAACCCAACTGCCGTGCAGGTGGCCAGGGCGCCAGCTCCCACCAGGCGCCTTTGGAAAGAGAGGAGCAACCGATCTGAAATCAAGTTCACGGGCGCAGCAAGTCATGATGATGATGATGATGATGATGACGATGATGATGATGATGACGATGACGACGATGACGATGATGATGATGATGACAACGATGATGATGATGATGGTGGAGGTGGTGATGACTATAGTGGTCAAGATGACGGCACAGGGTATGATGATTGTGATGAAAGAAGCTGGGTTGGTGATGATGACTTTAGTTATGAAGATAGTGATGGCGGCAATGATGGAAAGTGACGCCTGTGCAAGTGTGATGGTGCTGGTGCTAGTGCTGGTGCTAATGCCGGTGCTCGCGCTGCGAACGGAATATGTTTGTCCGTAATGATAGTGACATTTCTTTAGCTCTCAGTAGCATTCGCAGAGTAAGGGCAGTTCAAGTAGCAGGAGCAGTACCAGCACCAGGAACAACCAGAAGCAGCAGCAGCAGGAGCAACCCCCGCACGAGTAGTAGGTCGAGTAGTACTCGTCTTCGTCACAGTCGTCGTCGTAGCCATCGTCGTCCTCCTCTTCCTCCTCTTCTTCCTATCCGTTTTCCTACCGCACTTCAATGCATGAAGCCGCATCCCTGAATGCCTAAACTCTAAGAAACCTCAAACCCCAATTCCGAACGCCGTAAGCCCGCTCTCTACTGCAAAGAAGCTTAGACCCTGCACCCTCTAAAGCAAACGTTCTATCCAAGGCACTGGGCCCTCCAGCGCCTCTCGCATTCCCCCGAGACAGTCCCGTCCGAATCGACTGCACAAGCAACACCTCCGGAGATTCAGGGTATCAGGGTTTAGGGTTTAGGGTTTGGGGGTTCGGGTTTAGGGTGTAGGGGTTACTGTAGGGTTTAGGGTTTCAGGGCTTGGGCGTAGAGTTTAGGAATTAGGCTTTGGGATTCTAAGATCTAGTTGATGCGTTACTTGGCTGAACAAAACTAACCTTGTTGACAATGTATGAGGTGGTAAACCTCAGGGATAGAGATGTAGGACGCATGGCTTAGAGCTTTTGGGAGTTTGGTGCTTGCGGCTCTTAGGGCGTTCGGGCTTTTGGGCTGTCGGGGGCTTGTCTCCAAGGTTTAGGTGTAAGCCCTGAACCCGTAAACCCTAAAACCCAAGCCCAAACTAGGGTTTATGGTGTAGGGTTTAAGCCTATATCACACCTGTCCTACCATAGCTCAATCACAGCTTTTCAAGCCCTACTGACCTGCCAGCAACCTCGAAACGCCAAAGGCACCCAAGGAAGGACAGCCCAAGGAAAGTCGGAAATCTCAAGGAACAGCCTTCAACCCTAAACCCCCTACACCCAAACCTTCCTAAACCCCTAAACCCTAAAACCCGTAAATCCTGAAACCCTAAAGCCCTAAACCCTGAAACCCTCCCATACCGACCGCAAGGACAAAAAGAAGCACATCCCTGCCTCTTCCGCCTCGAGTCGTCTCAAGGCCCCATCATCGAGGGAGGTACCTTCGGTCGCCTGCTTTGAGCTTCTGAGGGCTTTAGGGCGTAGGCTTCGGGGTTTGGGGTGTAGGCTTCAGGGCTTAGGGCTTAGGCTTTGGGTTTAGGGATTAGGCTTCAGGGCTTAGGGTTTAGGCTTTGGGGTTAGGGTTTTGACTTTGGTGTTTAGGCGTTAGGGCTTAGGGTTTAGGGTTTAGGGTCTGAGCCTATAGTATAGTTGTACGATGGTATACGCTATACACCGAATCACAGAAGCCGTGCAAAACGTGCTAACTTCTATGACACCGGACGAAATCCAAACAAAATCTAGTCCAGCTATCGCTTTCATACTGTAATGATAGCTATTCTTCTTTGCTAGCAATTACAATGGTTTTATTATTGAGGTTACTACGGTAACTATAGTTTCTATCATCGTTCTTAATCTACTCGCTGCTAGTCTTCTTATTGTTGATACTCTTCTCATTACTACTCTTAGTAGACTTAGTACTACTACCATCTTTACGGTTCTTCTTAATGCTATTGCTATCACTTCACACAACGGTCAATATTTTACTGCTCTGGCTTTTCATCTTATAGCCTCCGGACCCGGCGAGGCCTCCACCCGCTCCTCTGAGACCCATCCAGCCATTTGAGGCCGAAGAGCGCCGTCCGAGTGGAATCGAAGGGGTTAGGGCGTTAGGGCTCCAGGGCTTAAGGGCCACAAGGGGTGTAGGGCTTAGGGTTTAGGGTTGACGGCTTCGGAATTCAAGGGTTTAGCCTAATATGTAAAGTTTTAAGATTGAAGGCTTCAAGGTAACAGGGTTTAGGCTTATGTAGGGCTTAGGGGTTTTGCACGGGCTTAGGGCGTCTCAGGGAGCGCTTTTGTTGGGTTCTTTTTGGGGGAGCTGTGAGCTTTCCAGGCCTAGAGCTTCGGGCCTGGGCTTCACTCTACACCCCAAGAGCTCTGAATTGAGGGCTGAAGGTCCTTGCATTTCATCTGGTTTAGGGTTTAGGGTTTAGGGTTGAGGGCTTAGGCTTGAACCATCGGCGCCGGCCCCGGATCTGGGTGGGGGCCTTGAGTCCCCTTAGCCCCAGACCCCAGCTGTAACCGAAGAGACCTACCTTCCCTAAGGAACTAGATGTAGAAACCATAAGGAACCCCGAAAAAGGTAGGTCTTTTCGGTTGCAGGTAGACCCTAAGCCCGAAACCCAGGGTTTAGGGTTTTGGTGTTTAGGGGTCTCACGGCGGTGTAGTAGACAGGGATGCCCAAATTTTGGAGGATGAGACCAAAATACCCCAAACTCTAAGGACTAAGCCCAAGACCCAAACACTCTACATAAACTCGACAGACTCTAAAGCCTAAACCCTAAGCCGCCATACATGCCCCAAGAAAGGAAGCAAACCGGCTCGAGGGTTCCACGTGCATAGTTTAGGTTCATGGTTTAGGATTTAGGGCTGAGGGTTTTAGAGTTTAGAGTTTAGGCTTGAGGGTCTTAGGGCTCAGTGGTTTGAAGGTTTAGGGGTGTACGACTTTAGTGCCTAGGGGTTGTTTTGGATCCTAGACGTCCGGGAACCTAGAAGCCAAAAAACCCTGCACCTGAGTTTCGGAGCCCCACGCTTCCCCCCCACTTTTACCTGAAACACAGGAAACCTTATTTAGGGCTTCGGGGTTTGGGGGTTTGGGTTTGTCGGCTCGTGGGGTTGCAAAAGGCGGCTTTAAAGGCTTCCCGCCGCGGTCCTTCACTTGAAGATACCTGCTGCTCGGTACAGGCAGCACTTGTCATACTGCTCACCAGAAACTTCCGCACATTCTTTATAAAGGCAATGCACATCAAGAATCCCCTTGAAAACACCAGTCATACCCGTGCCTGCCCTACGAAGCATCCAAAACCCAAAGCTTTACGCCATAAACAGAAACTCCAAACCCCAAACACAAGCCATGATATAGGAGCCTGAATGAAGGGAAGAAGGGTTTATCTTGGGCATATTCTTCTACATTTTTTCACAGGACTCCTCAGGCACAGTATTTGCAACTGCCATTAGGAACTCACCACAACCCGAAGTCAAAACAAAAAAAAAAGTGCGGCCGCGGCGCCCGTCAGGAAGCGCAACCCCCTGAGGCAGGTCTCAGGACGGGATTTCGCGTTTAGGGTCAAACTGCAGCCGAAAAGACCTAGCTTCTCCGCCTCCTCCTCCTACTACTACTACTACCACTCCTCCTCCTCCTCCTCCTCCTCCTCCTCCTACTACTACTACTACTACTACTACTACGACGACGACGACGACGACGACTACGACTACGACTACAACTACGACTACGACTAGGACGACGACGACGACGACGACGACGACTGCTGCTCCTCCTACTACTACTACTACTACTACTATTACTATTCCTACTACTACTACTACT